ATTGATCATCCTGGTTATGGGTTCCACCAGAACAGGCAGATTCTTGAAGTCTCAAAAGCTCCCCAAGTGGACTGAATTCAAGGCTAAATCTGAAGCTCATCGCTTGAGCTTTTTAAGTTAACTAATCACAAGAAAAAAATTCAACAATAGTTTTCTTATTGTTTGTATTTGCAATCATTGAGCGAGGCAATCGTACAGCGACGTTTATTCAACAACCAGGCTCCCGGAGGGAATTTTGTACAGTTTCCTACATACCTCGTGGCACTTCACAAACAAAGGCCCGCTGATTCAGGGTGTTTAATTCCTCACCTCATCAGCAAAGTATTCAAATTAGGCCCTGGCAACCGCATTCCCAAAACAAACACTTCAAAACCACTACCCATTGAAGTTAAAGGAACCGGAGTCGGGCTAGTACACGGTATCGTGCACAGCTGAGCGGGTTTGAGAGGCCTCGGCAGCGGGTTGGGTTACTGGCATTCGTCTGTTGTCCAGCACCGGAGACGCTCTTGAGACAAATCTCATTGCACCAAATCGTGCCATATAAAATTTCTACCAATGCTTAGAAGGAATCGACAGAAGCAGTACAGACGCCTATAATGCACGTAACAATGAAAACAGCACCACCATGCCTTTCTTAATATACTAACAGTAACAGTGAACACTAATCCTTTTGCCATTCCTTCTCACCAGAAGAGCTCATCTATAATTCTTATAGTTTGTCCTTGAATTTGATTTGGCGTGAGATTAGAATACTTTGTTGATTTCAACTGCAATGCTACCCTCACTGACGCTCAAAACGCTTGGAATCGGACCTGTAAACTTGATCCGTGGAATGTAAACTACCCTCCTGTGCTGTCGCTGTGTCTGTTCTGCTATCACGCGCACAGACTTAACAGATTATGCCGGCTTACAGCTCGCCTACACCCTCGCTAGCCTGGTGTGTTTAGCTTTCTCCGAGGTTCAGCCGAAATCACACGTTAATCTAGATGCCATCACTTTGAAGCGGTTTCTGTGTGCTGTATGTTGCGTGACTGTTCGTTTTCTTCAGGCTTTTTCGAAATCAAACAGACATGGCGTCCAGCAAACCTGCCAAGGTCATTGCCACAAGACCCAGGGAGCAAAAAAGTCCAACTCGCAAGACACCGACCGAAATGGCGCGAAAACCGTCCAGCTCCATCTTGAAGAACTCCCAGTCGGAGAGGAAGGTGTCCGTGGCAGCCTCGGCCAGGAAGGTGTCGGTGGCGTCGAGCAGTTCCAGCGGCAGAAAAGTGTCAGTGACCACCAAGGCTCGGAACTTGCCCGGGACACTCACCCGCAAGACGTCCAATTGCTCGGATCGTTTCATCGGCGGCCATTCCGGCCCGGCACCCAGCTTACTGCAAAGACCCCCAGCGGCATCCTCCTCGGTGGTGGGCTTCAGGCAGCTGCTGGTCACTAAGCGCCTAGCCCGCAACCTGAAGCTGCGGACCGCCCAGCGTATGGCCGAGCGACGCGGTCGCAGCTTCATCACCTACAGCGACCGGCCCGGGCGCCGGCGTCCGTCCCCCGGCCAAGACGTCCTTGTCGAGCCGTCATACCAGGTGCGCCCCCCTCAGAAGTTCGGCGAGTTCCAGGGTGCGATCAGCGACATCCTCGAAGAGCTCATCCCCGAGACCTTGTCTAGGATGCCCTACGATGCCTTGGTGTGCAGCAGGCAGGCCAAATCACTGGCTGGTGATATCCAGGAGAGAGTGAAAGACTTGCGCATCGCGCGCTACAAACTCATCACCGTGGTGCACATCGGTGAGATTCAGCAGCAGGCAATTCGAGTTTGTAGCCGTGGCATTTGGGATGTGGAAGTAGACTCCTTCGTAACATACCAATATCAAAATGCCTCACTGTACTGCGTAGCAACAGTGTTTGGCATTTATCACGAATAATAAACCGACACTGTAACATTGCTCATTTTGTTACCGGTCCGTTCTACTGAATTGCATGGGAAATGTGTCAAAACGGGACATTTTGCGTCCCTTCAGATGAACAAAGGGTCCGTTCATTTGGTTTTGTATATCGTCAGGATTTCATCTTAACCAACAAAATATGTAGGCACTTCAGTTTTTTCGACAGAATTTGAGCATCGTTCAAGGCCAGTGTCGGTTTATTTCTTAAAGCCCTATGAGAGAATGGCATTATGGCTTCACTAAAATTACACAGAAAGTTTGGAAATCTATAAGTAGTTTGACGTAACAGATTATCTGCTGTAATTATTAACGATATTCTTGTTTAGTTTCTATATTACATGATATCCACACTGCATTTCAATTTGCAGAGACTGCAGAAATTTAACACCTTCGCTACTAAATGTATACATGGGCGTAAATTCCCGGAGGGTTATATACCCCCCCCACTTTTGAGGTGCATGGGGGACGGGCTATTGAATCGTCTCCCTCACTTTTTTGTGATGAGCAAACATATTTAAGCGGATTGTGAAGAATTTTCAGGATTTCCCAACGACTAAAATGTTTGCAGTGTCACTAAAATGGGAAAGCAATTTTAAACAGTCCAAAGTATACCATTTTGATGTAAGATTCTGCATGAATTTTATACACATATAACAGATGTACATCTTTATCATGAACACCGCCCCCTACATAGTGCATATGGTGTCCCCCCCCCGTTTAAATTTCCATGGCCGGGCAAGTCACCCCCCACCTTTCCCCATCCCCCAATTTTCGACACAGATTTTCACCACTGGTTGTACAGTAGTGAGACTTTGAACCTTTCAAAAGTAAAAGGAAAGAAAGTGAACATTCCTTCAGGTCATTTTCTGCAATGAATATTGTCACTGGTGACCATAAAGTGGGGCGCCTGTAATGGAATAAAATGTCGACCCTCTGACGTCCTTAAAGTGTCAAGGAATTTGAATCTGGAAGGAAAACTTAGTTCGTAATCGGTTGTCATGTAGAGTGAAGTGTCATACATGCTTATGACTTTGTTGAAACAGGTGTATTTCACTGCATCGCGACTAAATTCGATGCAGATTATTTTTATTCATACTCTGTGGTAAAATATAAATATGCAAGTGGCATTAGAATCAAGTTTAACCGCCTGGCTTTTTGTGTCTAGTTCTTGACTGTCGCTTATTATTTCAGAACAAATTCAAGGTGCAATAAGTCTGATTTATATAGTTAGGTATTTTTAAACTGGTGGACAACTTTAAAATGTAATCAAGACCAAGCTAATGATATGAGAAAAACTTCTGAGTTTTATTATCGAAGCGTACGAGCATGTGCAGTGGTGATTAAGCATCTGGTTCAACGCTGCCATCGGTTTTTACACAAAAATGCACCACTGAGTTTCACCAAAGCAGACATAGAATAAGTTGAAATGCTTCGATGGCCTTTAATCTATAATTGGAAAAAGTTTACTCCAAGCCTACGTGCTTTGCCACACTTAAATTCACCTTTCGACTGTCGTGAAGATGAACACAGCTCCTTCAAAATAATGACTACTGTATAAACGTATCGGACGCACAAAATGTAATCACAGGCATGCAATGCTTAGGCCTATCTTAATGACAAGTGACAATCTTGTGCAGGATTAATTAAGCGAAAATAACGCACAAACTTTAAAGGGATCCCCAGAATGATTATTGAACGTAGCCTACTGCATCAGCTACCACACCAATGCTTATATCGCTTCATCAACAGAGAATTAGCGTATAACAGGAAAACATCATCGACAAAAACCCACCGGTTTGCTTGGGAGTGTAAAAGGCAGCACTTCATTTTGTCGATGTAAAATAATGTGCCTTTGATTTGACAGTGCATTTCACAATTAATCATATTGAACTGGCCTCATATAGATTTTAAAGGTACACACCACCCTGCAACGCTAACCAAATTCAATATTAAAACTTTAATTTGCATATTTCAATGGCCTGGACGAAAACCTACCAGCCTAGCGCCTTATACAGTTACGGAATACTTCATTTGTTTACATCTGACTCGGCGGCCATTTTGGAGTTTGCGTATACCGGTACTCATTTCCAGCAGTGAATCCAAGTTCTCAAGCCCGATGTGAGCATGGTTACCCCGCCAATGACTTGGACTGGTTGCAGTTGGTTTTGCCACCTTCCCCTAACGTTATTCTCCTTCTCCTTGATTTTCAAAACACCAATTGCTTCATCTCAACTGACGATTGGCGCATTATTCCTTGTGTTTTTGTCATTTTTGTCTTAAACCCGGAGAACTGGAGCCCTCTACCATGGTAAAAAGCCATACGTTATTATGCTAAATACTAGACAAGTGCCACGCTGTGCACGTGGTAGTTCCGGGTCCTAGACCGGTAACGTTACCTGCCAGTTACCTGCTGTTCTGGTCATTTATTCAACTAATCCCGAATGTTGTAGCCTATTCATTCACTAAAGACCTCAAAGCCTCATAGCAAAGACCGTATAAAAGTTCCAGGGAACGTATGAAGGAAACGTTACTGGAATTCAAAGACGGATCTAGAATCAAACTTGGGGAGGGGGACTTTTTTTGGTCGGGGGATTATAATCTTTCGGAGGGGTCAGGTTAATGTAAGGGGCCTTTTCTGAGCTCTTAGAGGAAGGAAAATAAGATGACAGTTCTGTCGTTTTTTTCCCCAAAATATATATATATTTAATTTTTTGGCAAAATTACGATGAGACTTGCGGCAAGGATTACAAGTAGTGTTCCAATCGAGCAATTTTTGGGGGTCAACATTTAAGCCCTAACACTACCAATTCCGTCCTTCCGTTCGACAATCACTCAAAAACTACACATTTAAGGGTATGGCTTTGTGAACAATTATGAGCCTCGAGCTGGACCAAGAGAGGGCGCA